AGTTAGCTCAAGATCACATTAGTTGTGGGATGATTAACATAACTAGTGAGTTCTTGAGGCAGGTTGGACTTAAACAGTTGCAGGATGTTGAGCTGGTGAAACTTCTTGGTTTGTTGGGAACTGAGAAGGCTGTTTGTTTTGAGCTAGGAGAAGATGGAATCTTGAGGTTCAAGGGCAGAATTTGCCTACCTTAGGATGCTGAGCTGAAGAGAGCTGTGTTGGAGGAGGGCCACAAGAGCAGACTTAGCATACATCCAGGTATGACTAAGATGTACCAAGACCTCAAGAAGACTTTCTGGTGGTCTGGTATGAAGAGGGAGATAGCTGAATATGTGGCGGCCTGTCTGACCTGTCAAAAGGCAAAGGTTGAGCATCAGAAGCCGAGTGGGTTGATGCAACAGATTGAGATTCCAGAATGGAAGTGGGATAGTATCACTATGGACTTCATTGTGGGGTTACCTAGGTCAGCTAGGAATAGTGATGCTATCTAGGTGATTGTTGATCGGTTAACCAAGTGTGCGCATTTCTTGCCTGTCAACATCAAGTGGTCCTTGGAGAAGCTGACACAGTTGTATGTGAGGGAGATAGTACGGTTGCATGGGGTGCCTTCCAGTATTATTTCTGACCGAGATCCGAGGTTCACTTCCAGATTTTGGCAGAGTCTACATCAAGCCCTAGGCACGAAGCTAAAGTAGAGTTCTGCTTATCATCCGCAGAAGGATGGTCAGTCAGAGAGGACAATCCAGTCCTTGGAGGATTTGTTGAGGGCTTGTGTGTTAGACCACTTGCGTAGCTGGGAGGAGGTCCTACCGCTGGTGGATTTTACTTACAATAATAGCTTTCATGCTAGTATTGGGATGGCACCGTTTGAAGCCTTGTATGGCAGGAGATGTAGGACTCTTCTGTGCTGGTATCAAGATAGTGAGTTAATGGTTGTGGGACCGAAGCTGATCCTACAGACTACTGAGAAGGTGAAGATGATTTAGGAGAGGATGAAGACTGCTTAGAGTAGGCAAAAATCTTATGCTGACAAAAGGCGTAAGCCTTTAGAATTTGCTGAAGGGGAGCATGTGTTTCTGAAGGTGACTCCGACCTCTGGTGTGGGTAGAGCGCTGAGGGCAAGGAAGTTCACACCAAGGTTTATTGGTCCCTATCAGGTCATACAACGTGTGGGTCCGATTGCTTATCGGTTGGCTTTGCCACCGTCTCTTTCAAACCTACACGATATATTTCATGTGTCCCAGCTGAGGAAGTATGTCCATGACCTGAGTCATGTGGTGGAGCTGGATGATGTACCAGTGAAGGAGAACTTGACTTTTGAGAAGTTACCAGTAGCTGTGATTGATCATAAGCTGAAAGAACTGAGGGGCAAGTCCATTGCTCTGGTGAAGGTGTTGTGGGATGCAGCTACTAGTGAGGCTACTTGGGAGGTGGAGTAGCAGTGCAGGGAGCGGTATCCGTTTCTTTTCCCAAGTAAGTCTGTTTTCGGAGACGAAAACTCTTGTTGTTGGGGAGGTTGTGAGACCCCATTCCTTCCGCAATTTCCTTTTCACCTTCACTCTCTCCTTTCCTTTGGCTGCCCCATTTTCTCTCCTTACATTCTTCCCCTTTTCATGCTGTCTCAAGGTGGTAGTGCTAAGTGAGCTTGGGTTGCTAGCTGGTTTTCGGAGTTCTCTCTTCTTCTTCCGTGTTCGTTCAAGCTCTCATTCGTCTTTCCCCTCCGTTTCTTCTTCCCGGAGCTCGGCATCCTTGTACCAAGGTAAGGGAAGCTAGTTTTTTTTTTTGCTGAGTTCTGTTGAAAATGAGTCCATAAGCTCATTTTGTAGCTGATTTCGTGAAGATTGATGGTTGATTTGGTGAAAAATTTTTCGGGGTTGATAGGGTGATGGGAAAAATTTGGGTTTTCCTTGATTCGTGGTTGCATGTGTAGAAAGATGTTGTTTTTGAACTATTTGATGTAAATGTGAACTATTGGATGGTTTGCATGTGGATTTCCTGGCTGTCTTTGCAGATTTTTGAAGAGATTTTCGAACTTGGGGGAGTTGCTGCTGAGCTTCGCGCTGGGCGCAGTTCTTCACGCCGGGCGCGAGACCACCAGGGGGCTCCATTTAGGCATGCCCGCCGGGCGCAAAGGTGTGTGCGCCGAGCGAGCTTGAGAATGTGAGCCTCTGGTTGGCCCACGCCGGGCGTGATATGGATAGCACCGGGTGCGATATCAGTATGTGGCATGTTTTGGGGTTTCTGGTACGGTGTCGAGCGCGACTCTGTCGCGCTGGGCGTGGAGACTCCTTGGGAGTCTCTGCCAGAGGGGCGCTGGGCGCAATTTGAATTGCGCCGAGCGCGAGACCTTGGGAGGTCTTTGCCTTCCCCACGTTGGGCGCGGGCTTGGGCACGCCAGGCACGTGAGACTCCTTAGAGTCTCTGCCTCGGCATGCGCTGGGTGCAAATTTGATTTGTGCCAGGCGCGGGAGAGCCTCGGGCTCTTTGGCTGGGTCAAGAAGGGCGCGAGCATTCTTGTGCCGAGCGCGATGACCCCTGGTGCTCTCTGGTTGTGCTACGCCGGGCGCGACCATGAGTGCGCCGAGCGCGTATGATGATGTTGACTTACATGCTGATGGCTGTTAAATTTTGCTAGATGTTATTTTATGTTGAACTAAGCTGTAATTGATGAATATGTTATGCTGACTAGATGATAGTGCTGAGAAATGATGTTGAGCTGTAATCGAGGTATATTGTTGTGCTGAGCTGGGCTATGATTGATTATTTTAAATGCTGAATTATAGTATTGCTGTACTATAGAATGTTGAACTGAGTTGTGAGTAGAAAGTTGTGTTGAATACTACTTGGCTGTGCTGTATGCTGATTTACTGTACTGTGTTGTGAGCTGTGTTAGCTGAGCTGTATGTTGATTATTTGCCACTATTGTGGTTTTGTTATTGCCGCTATGTCGGTGCTATTATTAGCCACTATTGTGGTGCTGTTATAGCTGCTAAGTCGGTGTTGTTATAAAGCCGCTAAGTCGGTGCTGTTATTACCGCTATATGGTGCTGTTATAGCCACTTGAGTGGTGTTGTTATTGCTGCTATGCAGTGCTGATATTGCCGCTTTGCGGTGCTGATATTGTTGAATGTTGTGGTGTAGTGTAAGCTGTGCTGGTGTGATGATAGCTGTAGCTGTTTACTAATCATATTGTTATATATGTATGTTGATTTCTTTTCATTAGCTTACCCTTTGTTGTCTCCATGATGTTTGGACTGCGATGATCATACTATGTATGAGAGCAGAGTAGGGATAGGTTGGTGGCTGGTGGTGAGTTTGTAGCTGGCAAATGAAGCTGATCCTATAGGATGTTTGGTTGTTTTAGCTACTTGGTGTATTAGCATCTGATGTATTTTGTACACTTTAACTCTATCCAGACTTGGACCTTGTATATGTATATATTCTAGACCCTATATGTATACACTTGTTCCTTTCACTGTGGTGTTTCTAGTGTGCTGGGTGGTGTGTAGTGACCAGCTAGGTCGTTACAAAAAATTTTTAAAATTAGTTTCCTCTATCATCTTTCAAGACCAAATTAGATATTTGCTCGATTAAAAAATACATTTAAGTCATTATTTTCCTATCTATTATATATCATTAATTATTTATTATAATTAAAAGAAAGTTGCATTATTTTTATCTCTTAATAATTAATGACCGCAATTAGAAAAACTGTTTAATGCAATTTAATATATTTTTCATCATTTTATATACACTTAAAATTATTATAAGATTTAATGATTTAATTGGTTGATTTAATAAAATATATATATATATATATATTATTTATTTATATATATAATTTTTTATAAAATTATTTTTATATGATAAACATTTTAGCAGTGCATTTTCCACCTTAAAATACTAGTTTACATAGTATGTTGTCAAAATAGACAAATAAATAAAATTAGTTAAATTAAAGATTTAAATATGTTTTTAGTCCCTCAAATTTAAAATTATTGTTTTTAGTCCTTGTAATTTTTAAAAATCTTGTTTTAGTCTCTCAGATTACTAATAACGTATCTGAAAGTAATAAATTAAGACGGTTATGGAATATCAATTAAATTTAATGTGATGTTTTCACTAATAAGAATACAAATAAGTAGATTTTATGCAATAATATTTGATAAATTTCTTAACAAAATTTGAATATAAAGACTAAAATAAGATTTTTTGATATTACAGGAATTAAAAATAATAATTTTAAATTTAAGGGACCAAAAATAAATTTATCCTAAATTTGAGGGACTAAAAACATATTTAAACCTAAATTAAATGAATTTATTTTAAATTTAATATAATATAATTTATTTTAAACAAATTTAATATAATTTAATTTATTTTAAACAAATTTAAATATAATTTAATTTATGTTAAACAAAAATTAAAGATATTTTGCTTAATAAATTTCACATTTATTTATACTTAAAAATTTTCTTATATTATATACTTTGATGAATTCGTAGAATGAAAAAATAAAAAGTAAAAGATTTTTTTATTCCAAATTAAATTTAATTAGATATGGAATTGGATTGAATTTACATAAAATCGAATCAATTAGGTCATATAATAATAAAATTAAATTAATTATGACTCTCACACGCAGATAATTTTTATAAAAAACTATCATTTAAAATTTATTAGGCGCATATATTAAAAAAAAAAAGTATACTGATCAAAAAGTTATTACGTGAAGTTATAAACAAATTAGCAACATGCTTAAAATAATATTAATTACAAATAAAATAAGTACTATAAATATTAATTACAAATAAAATAAGTACTATAACAAGTCATGAAAACTGACAAAGACGTAAATCAACTAATTTGAAATTGTTTTAGTTTAATTAAAAGTCTCATTCAAGTTCCAAAAAAAAAAAAGTCCTGTTGCCAATTATGATCCTATATTTGACTCAAGTAGGATTGCTATCTAACATTATGTTGAGTTGGAATTTTAATGCATTATTCCCAAAAGTTGATATCTTTGTGAATTTAATTGAGATACACAATTATAATAAATATTTTTGTCATCTAATCATGGATTCTCATATAAATGAAAATTATTGACCACTGCAATAATGAGTGATTCCTAATTCTACAGGTAACTCAAGCTATCTGATTAACAATGGAAAATCTTTACAGAGAGTACCAAACTTAAACTTCATCTTTATTGGGATCTAATCTCTAATTGACATGTGTACTGTGATTCATGATTTAATTTCATGTGATTGATCCCGAATTTTCACCCTCCTTAATGGTACCTGAATTTTCACCAATATCAAGTGCAAGTGGCTCAGCATCTTTTGAACAAGAATTAACTCTGGGAACCCCATTGACACCATTTTGATGTGTCTCACACTGCTTCACATCCTCTATTGTTGAAGGGGCATCCAAGGCTGGAGGATCCACATCCATAGCACAATCTCTGCCACCTTTATCTAAAATATTTTCTTCAATCTTATCATTAGACACACCACCAATTTCAGAAGCTGAGATCTCATTTTCTGAAGCAGTCAAGCCCCTCTCTTTGTTCTCTCTAGACGCATCGCCATGAATGGTATCATTAACACAAGTTGATGATGGATCAACATCCATGTCAACAGGCAAGCTGTCCTCTCCAGCACTCTCACAAGGTTCGCCAGTTATGGCGCCACCACAATCGGTGATATCATTCATTGCACTTGCACATCCAGGGGCTTCATTTGAATCATTTCTGTCCTCACAGCCATCAGCATCCTCAGATAAAACATCATTGATAGCATGCTTCTTACTGACCAAGTCCTGATCCCGGTTAGCTGAGACTACCCTGAAGCTTTCCTGAGGAATATCAATAACGATCTGTTTCTCGTTAGGATCCACAACAGTCTGGACACTTTCTTTATCGAGTAGGGTATCTAACTGCTTCTGAACTGACACTGCCAATGATACGGCATGATCGCGGATCAAAGAATCAAAAGGAGGGCAATGCAACATGTTATTTAGTGCCCGGTGATACTGAAATAAAGTGACAGATGGTAAGATGGACCCCCTCTTTCGACTGATACTAAGAACTTTCAGGATATGCTCACAGAGGTTACCTTCTTGTGCCCAACTACAATTACAGATGCTCAACATTGAACCAGTATTCCAGACAACAAAAGCTTTATCACGTTCAACTTGATCAGTGACCGTAGCACGTCCATCTTCTATTAAGACATCGGTGTCTGGAATCTTCTGTGCTTTGCGCCATGATGTCAAACCACTCATCCATTCGTTTTTCCAGTATCGTGCAAAATCATCTTTTCCTGAGTACTCATCAAGCCAGAAATAAGAATGGACTTTTGTACCCAACTTGTCAACCAACCAATCGGCTCGCTGATAAACAGTGACATCTTTTTCATTCAACAACCTGATCTTCAGTTGGTTGTGGTAAAATTCCATTGCTGCACAAGACTCTTGGCTAGCAAGAGGAAGAGTTTGAAGAGCATTGATCCATGCTCCTGCATCAAAGGGACAAAATAATTTCAGTGTACATAACTTACAATAACAATTTCATATTATAAATATATCCCCTAAAAGCCAATATGATCTTATCCTTAACCAGTTAGACATTAAGGAAGCAATATCCTGTAAATATTATAAGTTGAACAAAACATGCAGCAATAGTCACAAATAGTTGATAAGTACATAATATGCAGTGGTTTTGCCCATCCAATAAGAGCAACGCTCGCCAGTAAAAGACCACGCAAATACTCATCAGATCAGAAGCCTTGGATACTATTACTTCTCAATTACATAAGAAGAAAATAAATCACACTCCACTATCTAAATATTACTGACCTATTCTAGGATACCAGGTTGCCTTGAAATAGTCCATAAATTTGGATTCATCAATGAACTCTTCCATAAATTCTTCAAAGAGTGACATGTTTCCTTGAAGGCGGCAAATGTTATCCACTATCCACCCAAGGCGTCTGGATATCTTTATTTGCATATCAGTTTCCAAACACTTTACTATGTTTTTATGCCATAAATGACGAATCCGCCAGAAACTTATCAATACTGTACACTGAAACACATCCCTGAAAAATATACAGAATATATATACTTGTTAGTCAAGAAGTTGTAAAAAATAAATTCCTTAAATTGATACTGTAAAGCACAACAAAGTTTCATATTTCAGATTTCAAAATACCAAAAATAATTTCTATATTAACATTTGAATCAGTCATCAGCGTCATCACAAATGCAAACCATGAATGCACCCTATAATCTCATGACCAGGATCAAAAACTCCAAGAGAGCAATCATTTCCCAAAATAATTGGCTACCAAACAAACACACAAGTATTTAAATAATAGGCCACACGACCAAAAACACTAACAAATTGAAAAGATTAATTTTGGGTTTGAGGAAAATTAGAACTCGTGAAAACATTCATTAGATCATCAGAAATCTGACACATGAAGCAACTGCATTTAAAATATTCAGCACATTACATTATATCCAACTTTTCAGACAAATTTAAATTCAAACGATTCATATTTCATAAGCAGGAACAAAATATTAATAAAATTATCTAATCACCCACACTGCAATCTTGAAAGAGAAGTTAAAGGCTGCGGTGCTTTTTCTATATTTGATTAAAAGAATATTAACTTCCATGATAAATTGAACCAACCTGATTGCTAGAACATCATAAAATGGATCATCTACTATGAAGCCAGCCAACTTCCAAGTAGGATCTTTGGTGTGAACTCTATTGTAAAGAGCCCTCATCCATCGATGTGCATCCAAACTAGAAAACCTTGGTGCTATTATCCAAGCCACTGGAATGGCCTTCTTGTCTGAGTTGAACACTAGAAGACTATGAATGGGGTACTGGATGAAATTACCAATGTGCTTGCTTTTAGTTTCTTTGAAACTAAATCAAAACAAATATGTTTCTAATCACTTCAAAATGGGGGAAAGAGAAAATAACAGACCTGTAATTTATTTGTACCAAATCTTGAATCTGTGGCAAGCAGACCGCGGTTCCCAAATCTAATCATTTGTTGCAATTGCCACTCAGTTTGAATGCCTAGAGCAAATGGATCAGAATCAGAGAAATCTTCATAGAAGAAAACCTGATTTTGGTGGCTTTCAACCCACATGCCGACACTAACAGCATCATCGTCATCTAGTTCATATGTAGAACGACGAATTGCCCTCTCTTGTCGCCTAACATAACGGTGGGTCAAAAGGTCATCGCGGTTACAAGGACCACCTTGTCTCTCAACTGATTCATTGTGTCTCTGCATAATGGTTTCCACAGAGACCCCAACATATAGAAGAGATAAAACCCGAAGTCGAAGATCTTCCGAGATATATGGGGCAAACATGGCACGTGTTCCAGCAGCCTTTTTGTCCTGTGGACCATGGCATGGCAAGCCCTTTTTATCCACATGCTTATCATCATTATATATGATCAGGGCAACTGAAGGTTCAGCTATGAGGCGCTTCACAATGAAGTGACAAGTACAACCTCTCTTAGTATTTGGTCTACCTGCATTTTTCTTCTTAGGAACATAAGTAGAACGACTTGGTCTAACAATCCCACCTTTTCTATGGTCATCAGGACCAAAGGAACACCAATACCTACATTAATATGGCATTAAAATCTACACTGCAATTGAATGCAACAAATAAGCAATACCAAACAAAAGCAGCTATGACTTACAAAATATACTCTAGTATGCCATCAACCTTCTGCTTGAAGGGCATTTTAGGAGACCGTCGACGCCTTGCTTCAACATGAAACCTTGTGGGACATTCTTTATTATTTGATTCACCCCTCACAAAATCATCAACTCTAGCAAATGGGATAAGGGCAACTCTATCTAACTTATCATGCCAACCTTCTACTTTTGACCACACAAGTTCGGAAGAAGAAATTTCCAATGTGGGGGGGTTTTGTACCGGAAGAGATAGGATTGCATCCCATCTGGCCATTGTAGAGGAACACTAAACGAAAATTTTATGATTAAAAGCAATTATGAATTGATTTTGCAATTGGCATTATTATGATGAGGTCCAATCTCCAAAGAAGCTGCAAGAACAGTTGAAGGACATTGTCATGGAGAGAATATTGAATTAAAAGTTAATTATTTGTAGAACTATGAAAAACCCTAAACTTACAAAGGAAGGAAAACATTGACATAGAGAAAGCTTATGCGAGAGGTGTGGTTGGGTGTTGCAGCGGAGCGACGCTTCTATGTTCTCACGGAAAGTTGTGCCTTAGTCGGTATATGCACAACCCTAATTCCAACCACAGGGTATCGTTTTTTTTTTTTTTCCTTAACAAATTTAAATTAATTTATTTTAATTTAAATTTCTTAAATTTTTAAAATTTTAGTTTGTTTTTTTATGATGGGTAAAATTGATTTTAAATATGTATATTGAAACTTTAATATTAAATTTTATAAAATAAAAATTAACTAATTTTAAGTATTTAACAATTTTAGTGTTAAAAAATATTTAATAAATTAATATAATCTTTTATGTTTAATAATTAAAATAATTGTTGATATTCTTTATGCTGACTTTAAATTAAAAAAGATGGAAGGAAAAAGGAAAAAAGAAAGAGGAAATAAGAGAGAATGTGAAAGAGGAAGAGAGAGAATCGAATATAAAAGAGAAATAGTTGAGAGAAAAGATAAAGAAGTGAGATATGAAAAAGAAAAGAGATAAAAGTTGTAGAGAGAGGAAGAAGAAAAAAGAAAAGTAAAGAGAACACAAAAAATTAAAGATCTATTTGATTTGATTTTTTTTTTCTATTTCCATTTTTAAAGAAAATAAAAAATGGTAGAAATAAGAAATTATTATTTACACCATTTTTTGTAAGAATAAAAACACAATGATAAAATTTGTAATTTTAATCGCAATTTAACTGTTTTTTACTTTTCTTATGTGGTGGTGGAATGATATTTTTGGAGAATTTTTTACTGTGCTAGAATTTAAAAAAAAAATAAAAATAAATATCCCATAATATATTTACAAATATAAATCATTTTATTGTGTGTGGTCAAAATTTGATTTTCGGGAAATTGAATTCTGACCAGTACTGTATCCATTCCTCCCACAATTTAATTTATAAGGACATTGCATTTTTCCTGTCAGATCATTCGATCTCTTGGGATTCGAATTCTGTGTAGGGGTTTAACTTTTTTTATAGTATTTCTAATATATATATATATATATATATATATATATATTAAATATTAAAATTTGTTTAAAAATACA